ATAAAAGACCATAAAAACCAAAAAAGTATTTTTGCAATAGAGCAAGAATAGGACTTTCTTACGTTTTTTTTTACATCTAACAATCAATTTTGTACTCTCTTTCAACCTGCAAACATCTGTAGTAATACTGATTCTTTCATTTCTCCGGGCAGCTCTGTTTTGACGATATATATCGTCAAATAGAGCTGCCTGGTAAACCGTAGGCAGAGAGGGAGAAGATGACAACAAGTGTCTTGTGGACCTGTGGTTATATATTGTCACATATCTATGAGTAGGAAAGTGGGCTTTGCGAAATGAATACATTGCCTTCCCTTTAGAGGATGAGAGGGAGGAGGATGTGAAGGTGGGAGGAGCGGAATGGACAGGACGTGGTAGAGGATGAGAGGGAGGATGAGGGAGCAAAAAGGGGGAGGAGGAGGAGAAGGTTGTCGTGGAGGATGTGAAGGTTAGGAGGAGGGGGTTGTGTGCCACGGCTTCGGGGCAATCGTTTGTTGCTATGCTATGAAGTAAATTTTCTAAATTGTACTCGTTGCGCACAGTGCTCTGTGCGAACCACTCCGACAGTTGATAGTGAATTGGCCACATGTGGGTGCAGTAAATAGTAAATAGTAAATAATAAATAGTAAATAGCAAATACTAAAAACTTCAATAAATAGTAAATAGTAAATAGTAAATACTAAATACTAAAAACTTCAGTAAATAGCAAATAGTAAATAGTAAATACAAAAAACTTCAGTAAAAGGTCATTGCTAGCGGCAAGTAATTAATTGCCCCCAATGTGTGTTTACAGTGCACAGTAACTTCCAGTTACCATCGCACGTTGGGGCTGCTGGTAAAGTTTACCGCTGCACGCAGGCTTTGCCCACGCTCGAGGATTTTTGTGAAAACAATGTACTTCGGAGCTTTACTGTCGCAGAACAAATTACATCGTATGGTGTGGCGTACCAATATCATGCCTCCACAGTCCTACTCCCGTTCCACTCAGTCTAGACTGTTGGTCGGGCAATCCCCTTACGTTCTATTTATCACACTTTATTACTACAGTAACTCCAGGTTAGTCCCTTTGAAAAATGCTTTACTTGCTACTTGTCGCCTTTTTAACTGTGGGTCTTCGCAATACCTAGATCAGGGAAGAACTTTTTGTCAAAAGATAAACCATTTCGAAAAAGCGTGGCGTGCGTACCAGTCTGCGGCTGAAACGTACTCCGCTTTCAACGTACTTCGCTTTGAAGTCTTGGATTCAGCTTCTCGGGGCAGCCGCATTCATGGTCACAAAAAAAAAAAAAGTGACGCGGTCACCGCTCCGGGGCTGTAGCATGCGTCAGCTATTTTGTCCGAGGTGGCGATTTCTCCTGGCACAACATTACCTAAAGTGTAATATTTGCTGCGATACTCGGATGTTCGTCTACTACGACGCTTGCACCGCGTGGCCCAATGAACTCACCCTGGGAGGTACTAGCGGCGGCCGGATCACCTCCTAAACCACCAGCACATGCCAGCTATGGGACGCGGGGCCCTTTTGGAGGCCCCACCGCTGAATCATTTTATCTACGGTGTTTGGCCCCCTGAACTTTCCGAGAGGCTCAAAACTGGTTCTCCAGTACCTCGGATGGTGATTTAAAACCTGAAACAGTTTCGAAAGAGAGAGCTCGGAGAAAATGATGTGTACGACACCTCCCGGTGGACCAGTCCCTCCCAAAACTGGTCAGGTTCTCCAGTTGCCTGGGGGTCGTGTCCGGGGCCGGGACTGGGGCCATGAAGTACCGGGGGGGTTAAACCACTAGCACACGGGCCCGGCCCTGCGGAAAGTTTTTTATCGCCATAAGCGAAACTGGGAGGCGCCTCGCGGCAAGGCAGCCTGTTGAGAAAAAAACAATCGGCGGCTGTGAAGTGGCGTGGATTACATGCTGACACCAGCGGGGCGGGAGAATTGCCAGTTTTTGTCTAAAGATCATACAGAAGTAAAGGAACTGATTTAGTCCCTTGTATCCTACTGTGAGGTAGTAGCTGCGGCTTTCATACTCTGAAACCTGCTCTGGACGCCGTTCGTCTGTATTTCACTCCCTATAACCCCTCCCCTTCTGGTGTATGCACATCTCAGTCAGACTATACCCTCCCTGCCACCCTACTTGCGATCATTCTTGCGGCTTCCGTAAAAAGAAATAGCAGCTGGGCAATCCGAGCGAGTAAACTTAAAACCAGTGTCGCTTGTTCGGAGGTATTGGCGTTTATATATCTTGTGCATTGTTCCCGCCGCAAAACGCCATCTCTTTTGTTTTTTCGATCCAAAGGAGTCAAATTGCTTTGTTGTGAAGATCTTCATGTGCTTCGCCGGTCCGGGTTTGTTGAGGTTTTTTAATTTATGCATCCAAAGAATCTTGCATCGATTGTTTTTGTCTACCAGTACCATATAGTTTCACCAACTGACCTAGCTCAGTTTGGTACACCCATGAACTGTGGAAATACAGACTCGAGTTCGAACTCCAATGTGGAAGCAGATGAGTGAAATGCCATAATTCTGAATTACCTAGGGGCTATCAGTTCGATGATGATAACTCCAGGCTGCCGTCCTGTCCCAAAAAAAAAAGTTCGTGAATCTAGATTCGAAGCTGCCCGGCTATAAATTGACCCCCATTCATGATGGTAAATAAAATGAAAAGAAAACTGAAGGAGGTTGCGTCTAAAATGCTTTGTTCGCCTACCTCCCTTGACCTTTTTTGTTTTTTGTTTTTTGTTTTTTTGTAACCTACCTACCTACCTACCTACCTACCTATAAAGCTGCTTACTTTGACATATACGGACTTCTTCTTCTATAAGATTATCACATGTTTGCTCCGTCGCTGTCTTCCATCCAGTGCCAAGCTTTGCTGGGTATGCTCTTTCGCCAAGGATTGTCAATCTTGCTCCGCGACCTTAAACCACAATTAATTCAGAGACACTTTTCCCCGACCCTGGGGAACTCCTGCGTGAAAAAAAGGAACCAGCGCAGGCCGTTGATGAAAATCATCATCAGCTGTGAAGACCCCAAAAATTGCGGCACATATACGGCAAGCGCCTGCGACCGATATATGGGCCTTGTGGTTTAAGAAACTGGAAATCCTGAACGATTCTCCACTCGGGAGAGCAGAGTATGAGGACGAGGAAAAGAAGAAAGAAGAAGAGAAGGAGAAAAGGGAAGAGAAGTCCTTCGAGACTTCCGTTAAAATTGCAACGAGACGGAGAAGATTAGCATTATGGTAGCCCTGTGCAAGCAGGATACACATAAATTGATAAATGGGCCAAATTAGAAAGTAAAAAAGGGAAGAAAAGCAGAAGAAAGACGAAAGAAGGAGAAAGGAGAACGAAAGAATGAAGATGAAGAGAAGGGGTAGGACAGCGGGGAACAAAAGGACAAATCACTACTCTAGTGCGGCGAGGAGAAACCACCAATGGAGGAAATCAAAGAGAAATAAGCCTAGCTGCTGATCGGCATCCCTTCTGATACCCCATGCCCCAATCCACCAGATCAATGCGAGACTGGCGTAGGAGATGAAGAACGCAAGTAAGCCGGCCAAACGATAGACAAGCTGAAGCAAAAGTTAGAGAAGGTGGAGAAGAAGTAGTAGTG